TGTACACGCCTCTACCACTTCCTCTGGCAGTTCATTCCATACATGTACCACTGTCTGTATGATAAAGTTACCCCCTCAGGTCCATTTTAAATCTTTCCTCTCTCACCTTAAACCTATGCCTGCTAATTTTGGACTCCCCTACACCCCTTGAAAAAGACGTTGGCTATTCACCTCATCTATGCCCCTCAAGATTTTATAAATGAGTACAAGGTCATGCCTCAGCCTTCTACAGAAACAAGTCCCAGCCTATTCTGTCTGTCCCTATAACTCAAGAGCAGCCTCCAAAACCAGTCCAGGGACTTGCACACAGTGAATCAGCCATACAGGGCAGTCAGAGCCAGGACCCTCTTTACATAAGGAGCCAAATGATGGGCAGTCATAAGTTGTCTTGATGCTTCCTGCCCTATTGGGGTTTGCTTTCCTCCTGGAATGTGAGAAACACAGCAATCACCTGAGATGAAAGTGGATGGCACATCTATTACTCTTGGTGCTGGTTGGGAGATGTGAGTTGGGGTAGGTGAGAGCAAGAGGCGATGATGTTGCGGGCATTAGTGAGAAAGGTAGAACAGGATCCTTGGTGGAAGGATAGATTGAGTGTGATGTATCAGAGAGAAGATGATGCCACATACTCAGGTGGTGTGAAGGAGGACATTGACTTTCTTCTTACAAGGCTGGGCACTCCTCCAGATGGCTAAGACTGCTTCTTACCTGAGTGGCAACTTCAGACAGGGCTGGCTTGATCTGCTATTGTGGCCTCCACTTCTGGTCCTAGGGGAAGAGGAAGTCCCATTTGGTTCCAATTTCTCCAACAGGACCTCCAAGACATGACCCGCAAACCCAGGCACTGATTTCCATGTCTGCCATGTCTAGCACAAATGTCAGGAACAGAACAGGACATCTCTGAACTGACCAGTTGCACAGTGGCCTTTCAAAGGTGGTGCAGGTATTTCAATGGCTGTCTGCTCTGTGGCAAGTTGTTCCAGGGCTAGTGCATGGTGAGACTGAGCATAAATCGAATGCGACAGAGATGACGTTTGGGGTTGATAAATAATGAGACAAGTTTGGTAAGATACAGCGACAGAACTTGCTTGATCTTGCACCAACAAACCCTCCAAAAGCATTGTGGCAATGCAGTTTTTGCCAAATAAAAAACATAAGGTTCAGCTCAGAAGCTTCAGCAGATAAAATTATACAAAATGCTAATGGAATTCCAGGAGCCCATTTTAATCCAAACAGACCAGATGGAATCTAACAGAATCAAACCAGCTGTTATTTAACATCTGAGTTTACTTTCCATTGAAGTTAAAACAACTCAAATTTGTTGCAAAAGTTATATAATGAATAAGCCAAGAGGTAAATCTATATAGAATGTTACTAAGACCTTACTTGGGCACAATATTGAACTCCACAGTATAAAGAATATTGAGACTTTAGAGAAGATACAATGCAGATTGATTATGAAGCTATCCAGTGTACAGAATGCGAATAATCAGAGAACACAGGAGCAAAGTACAATGAATGCTGGAGATCTGAAATAAAAACAAAAAGAGCTGAAGAAGCTCATTAATTCTGTGAATCATAGAAAATTCTTCACATTAGAGACTTGAAATGATGAAGTTCACCTTAAGGGAAAGGGTCTGTTCAAATAATATGCCAACATTCAAAATTAGATTGGAAAGGTGAATGAAGACAAAGGGAGGAAAGAGAAATGGGAACAGAGTAATTAAATGTAATTGTGATTCTTTGCTTTTGTGCAAATTAAAGACTAGCATAACTGTATGCTTCAAATGGATTGTTTCTGTAAGATTTATATATTTCTAAGGGTTCCTCCACAGAGAAAACTCTTCAGGTATATCCATTTCCTGGTGAATCACAGCAACTAAAACCAATGGCACTGAAATTCTGCTTTGTTCTCCATTTATCTATTTCAAGTTTGGTAGATTCCCAGGAAAATTATGTAAATTGTTGAAATTTTGTTTGGCGACCAGGAGAATGTCCGGGGAGTTCCTGTGTCAGTAACCAAAACTGTGGCCCGTATGTTTTTTGGAGCAGGAAATATTGCAACATATCCTGCTCATTGCACATTTTTGTGCACTTTTTAAGAATTTTTTGTCCATGCAGTTGATAATCATGGTGAATGGGCAATAGGACATCTGAGACCTCTCTGAACAAAAAGAATTTACCAGTGAAATTAAAGGACAGAGGAATGACCAAAGGAAAGCCCGGAAAGAAGAATTTTATCAAAGTAAATTCAACATTAATTTATGCATGAAAATAAAGAGGAAGAAAAATGAATGAAGATCGAGATAAAGCTATCAGGAAAGCAAAATAAGGAATTTAAAGGTATACAAAAACTTAAAATGTAACATTTTTAAATCACCAACATTCACCAACAAATATTCAATCTTAAGAAATAAGACTTTTATAATTGTTCACTTTTTGAACAAGGATATTGACTGGCAGTTATCAAAATTATCATTTTTATGGTATTTCTGCTACAAATTACTAGATGGTTTTCTGGGGCAAAGTCAATGTATAATAAATATATAAATTCATGAAAAGTAAAGGGAGGTTACATTCATGAAGCAGAACAAGTCATAGTCACAGGACACCTCTTCCTGACATCAGGTTGATGACCAATTTGTTTACTGATTAAAGCATACATTCAGGTGCCATTATCTTCCAGCAAAATGTGAAGCAATATTATTTTGATAACTGATTTCAGTTTTAACATTAATTGCACTCCAAAGTCCTTCAGTAAATAGTCATAATGGATTGTAAAAAGAGGTGGAGACCCATGATCTAGGCTTTCCAATCATTTGTAAAACTGTAAGACCATAAGACGTAGAAGCAGATATAGCCCATTCGGCCCATCAAGTCTGCTATGACATTCAACAAGATCATGGGTAATCTGGTTATCCTCAACTCCACTTTCTAGCCTTTTCCCCATAATGCTTGAATCCCTTACTGATTAGACATGGATATACTTTGTGGCTGAGCCTCTACTCCCCTCTAATGTAAAGAATTCCACAAATTCACTACCCTCTCAGAGCAGAGATTCCTCCTCATCTCTGCTTTAACTGGTCAATCTCTGAAACTGAGATTATGTCCATTTTTTTCATAAAATCCTTACAATATGGAAGCAGCCCATTTGGCCTATCGAGTCCCTACCCAATCCCTGAAACCCTGCATTTCCCATGGCTAACCCATCTAACCTGCACATCCCTTGACACTATGGGCAATTTAGCACAGTCAATCCACCGAATCCACACATCCTTGGACTGTGGGAAGAAATCAGAGCACCCAAATAAAACCCACGCAGACAAGGGGAGAATGTAGAACTCCAAGCAGACAGTCGCCCAAGGGTGGAATTGAACGGGGGTCCCTGGCACTATGAGGCAGCAGTGCTAACCACTGAGCCACTGTGCCACCCCTCTTGTCCCAGACTTTCCCACAGCGGAAACAACTTCTGCACATGTCCCCTGTCAATCCCATTAAGAATCTATATGTTTCCACAAAATCTCCACTCATTCTTGATGCCAATGAGTACAAGTCCAACCTGTTCAACCTCCCTCCATAAGAAAATCTCTCCATTCTCAGAATTAATCTTTTGAACCTTCTCTGGATTGCCTCCAATGCGAGTATATTTTTCCTTAGATAAGGGAACCAAAACTATTTACATTATTCCAGGTGTGGTCTGATTAATGCTTTTAATAAGGCTTCCCTATTTTAATAACCCATTCCCTTTGAAATAAGAGCCAACAGTAATAAACTACCACAAGCTTTTTGTTAATTATGCATAAGGACTTCCAAATCCTGTGTTTCAGCTTTCTTCAATTTTTCTTCATTGAAATAGTATTGAGCTCTTCTATTCTCCATCTGCAAAGTGCACAGACTCACAATTTCCCTATTTTGTATTTCATCTTTCAAGATTTTGCCCACTCAGTCAACCAGCCTACATCCGTTTGTAGACTCTTTGTGGCATTCTTTCTGTTTACATCCCTTTAAATTTCTGTGCCATCCACAAACTTTCTGATAGTACATTCACCTTTCTCATTGAATTTATTTATATAAATAGTAAATAAGTGTGGCCTCAGCACTGATCCCTGTTAAACTCTATCAATTACAGGTTGACATCCTGAAAATTCCACCTTTATCCCAACTCTCTATCTTGTATCTTCTAGCCTATCCTGTAAGCATGCTAAATACTACCCCTAACACAATGGTCTCTTAGTTTATTAAGTAGCCATATATGTGCGATGTTATCAAACCCTTTTTGGAAATCCAAATATATTATAACTACTGGTTTCCCTTTACTACCCGGCTTGTTACCTTCTTAAATATTTGTCAGGCATGATTTTCCCTTGAAACCATGCTGACTCTGCTTGATTAAAATATGTGTTTCTAAATGCTCTATTATCACATCCTTTATAAATATGCCATAACAGTTTCAAAATGACACATATTCAGGTAACTGGCCTATAGTTACCTGTTTCTGCCTCACTCCCATTTTGAATAAGTGTTTTACACTAGCAGCTTTCCAATCCTCTGGAACTATTCCATAATGTAAGGATTTTTGGAGGATTATTACCAATGCATCCATTATCTCTGTAGTTACTTCCCTTAATATCCTAGGATGGAGCTCCTCATCTCCAGGGGATTTATCGGTTTCGGCCGTATTAGTTTCCCTCACATGTTTTCTCTAATGATAGTTATTATATTTATTTTCTACCAACCTTTGGCCTGTTGATTATTTCATAATTTTGAAATCCTATTAGTGCCCTATTCTGTGAAGGCTGATGCAAAATATATATTCAACTCATCTGTTATTTCCTGCTTCCCATTATTATTTCACCAGACTCTTAGAGCATATTCACTTTTGGTCTGTCTCTTCCTTTTTATGTATCTGAAGAAGTTCTTACTGTCATTTCTATATTACCTGCTAGATTTATGTTCCATTCAGATGGACACAGGGAGAGGCATTAAAAAAAAACACCTACCCTTGTGATTATCTTGGGATGAGGATCTGTAGAATTCTCCATAATTTCTATTTCACCAGGTGACTTCCACAAATTCTCTTTTACAGCAATCTTTACCATAGTATTTGTGCTCAGCGGCAAGGGAGCTGAATCTTTTGCACTCACTATCAGCTGGTAACTTTCGTCTTCTTTTGGATCAATTAACTGATACCCTGGAAAAAAATACATATTTAATAAAATGTCACTCCTTATCATTCATCACTCTTCCTGACTCAAAGGCAACAAAGACATAAGGCACTATTAAGCAGTGTACTGCAGGCAGTGAATGGAATGCCATCCACTTTTATACTGCTGCTCAAGACAAATTTCTACCTTTGAAAATTTGTCCACTGTGAACAACTTTGGAGCATACCAACTTCATCTTACAGTGCCTCAGGCATAAATTAGCATAGTATTCATTAGAGATGCTTTGTACAATGGCAAACATTTATGTTTCATCATGAATTTATCTGATGTTATATTTTGATAATACTTGTATTGTAAATGTATCAGTATAGTGGTAAATATATTCTGTTACTATAGTTGATGTGGGAAGTAAAAGGTTACCACGGTTCATATTAAAATTGTTTTTCTCTCTCTGGACCACTAACTGCTTTGGCAGAGGGGGAGCCCCCATTATCAGTAGATACCAGAAGTTTAATACTTTTTGTTTTATACCAGCCCAAGTTTACTTCCATCCAACTGACTGCTGGGGCCTTTTTGGAAACTCAGAGATTATGAACCAAGACATGGTCAGAGAAACTAAAGGAGGAACGAAAGGTTGTATTAGCATCACCAACCGCTAACAAACAGGCTGGGGGAGGTGTCTTAGCATGTACGTAAAGTTAAGGAGTTAAGGAGCAACAGGATTGAAGGCTAGGCACACTGACCAATGGATTGGTCAGAGTAGGAAAATTTAAGGCATAAAGGTGAAGAGCATTTTGTACAAGGGAGAGACCAGAATACTGAAAAATGTTGCAAGCACTGAAGTACCAGGTGTGTTACAGAACATAACCTGAGAACATAGTGCAAGAAAGAGATGGGCAAAAGTTGAGGAAAAGAATGGTTGGGACCCTGAGCGGATTGTAGTCCAGCAAAAGGATTGACCAGAAAGAACCAAAGAATAAAACAGAAAAGTAAGTCATAGCTCTGTGTCCCATGCACATGTAATTGTGTAAATCAACAATCAATCTCAAAAATTACCAGACAGAATCCTGGGAAGACAGAGCTGATGTATGAAGAGAACTGGATTGTTAGGACTACATTCACTGAATGATGGGGAAGTTTCACTGGAAATGTATGAAATTCTAACAGGACTAGACGGGACAAATGTAGGAAGGACACTCCCAAAACAGGGAGTCCAGAAGCAAGAAGGTCAGCAATAATTAATTTGGAGTTGTTTAACATTTTGGGGAACTGTCCTAAGCTGTTGGGGTGGTCAAATTGTTAGAACCTTAGAGATCAGACAGGTTGTCACTTAGAAAGGCAGGGATAATCAGCATGGCTTTTTTAAGGGAAAAATCATGCTTTACAAATGGGATCGAATTCTTTGAGGAAGTGACAAGTAGGTAGTGCTGTGGATTTGTCTACTTAGATTTTAGTAAGGCATTTGTCAATGTCCCACATGGCAGATTGGTCAAAAAAGTAAAAGCCTATGGGATAAATGGTACTATGTCAAATTGGATCCATAGTTGGATTAGTAATAGGAAACAAAAGATAATGGTCAATGGCTATCCTTGAAAATGGAAAGTTGTTTCTAGTTTTGTTCCACAGTGTTTAGTGTTGGGACCTCTGCTGTTTGTTAAATACATTAACAATTTTAACTTGAACTTTTTGGGGCACAATTGGGAAATTTGCAGATGACATAAAAAATTGGCCATGGATTGGATAGTGTAGGGAAAGCTGTAAGCTCCAAAATCTGTTGATGATTTGGTGGAGTGGGCAGGAAAGTGGCAGATGGAGTTCAACATTGGTAAGTGTGAGGTAATGCATTTAAGGAGGCCAAGCAATAAATGGAATATACTAAGAAGGTTAGATGAAGTGAGAGATCTTGGCTTGCAAGAGCACAGGTCCCTAAAGGTAGCAGTTCAGGTAGATAAGGTTGTAAAGAAAGCATATGGAATGCTCTCCTTCATTGGCAGAGTTATAGAATAAAAAAGTAGGGATATAATGGTGAAAATATAAATGACACTACAGGCCACAACTGGAGCATTGTGAGCAATTCTGATCAGCACATTAAGGGAAGGAAGTAATTGTTCTGGAGACACTGCAGAGATGATTTACTGGAATGTTACCAGGGCTGGAGAATTGGAGCTATGAGGATAGATTGGTTTGGGTTGTTTTCCTTGAAACAGAGAAGGCTGAGGGGTGACATGATTGAGGTTCTGTATACAACATTATGAGGGGTAGAGATAGAGTAGACAGGAGCAGCCCATTTCCCTTGGCGGGGAGTTTAAAAACCAAGGGTCATAAATTCAAGCTAAATAGCAGAACGATTAGAGGGGACATGAAGAAAACCTTTTTTTGGTGGGTGGTGGATTGCTGGAATTCACTGCCTTGGCTGGAGGTGAGAGAGATAGAAAGACCCTAAACTCTTTTGAAAATTAACTGGATCTGCACTTAAAGTACTGGAAGAGGCAGAGCTATGGGCTGTGTGCAAGAAGATGGGATTAGAAAGGGCATCCAGTGTCTTTGGATCAGCATGGACAAGATGGGCTGAATGGCCTGGCTTTGTGCTGTATCATTTCTATGGGTTCTAGGATAGTTAAGGAAAAGTAAATCAGAAGGGTCAGAGTAAACCAACATGCTGTTGAAAAGATAAAAGTAGAAGAAAGCTTGTGTGGATTCTTCCCTTTAGATTGGTTATACAACAGGAACGTCAGCTCTTTTAAAGGAGTGTCACAATGAGGAATTTGAGACAGATTAAAAAGAATACCATAACAAAACAAACTAAAAGTTTCATTATAAGATTTACATTGAGATTTCTAGTTGAAAAGCATAAGCTGAACACGTTTTAAATGAGGGAATTGAAATCTGGATATAAATTCTCAATTGAGAATAAATGGTGACATTTAATCAAAAACAGAAATTGCTGGAAAGGCTCAGCAGCTCTAGTAGCATCTATAAAGAGAAACCAGAGTTAACGTTTCAGGTCAGGTGACCCTTCTTCAGAATCGGACCTGAAATGTTAACTCTGATTTCTCTTCATAGATGCTGCCAGACCTGCTGAGCTTTTCCAGCAACTTCTATTCTTATTTCTGACTTACAGTGCCTGCAGTTCTTTTAGTTTTCAGTTAATATTGGATACTGCTAATTAGAATTGAAAAATTGTTTGGGTTTGAATCAATCCTTGTGTTTTCAGTTCAGATTGTTAAAAGGAAGAGAATTTGACAGAGAAATCTAAAAGAAAGCTGAAACTTTGAAACACTGTTGGTGAATAGCATTCTGAAATTCTCAAATTCAAATTCCTCACTTGTTTGAGAAATATCTATTTAGGCTATTCCATTGCACAAGGCTTGTTCCATTTTCATAGGGAAGGGTTGGTGACATCATTACTATTGGATCTGAGAACTTTTGCTCCACCAGCTTTCAGACAGGCAGAAAGTTAAAACAGAATGTATATCTTTGCAAATGTATTTATATTGAGTATTATAAGAACTTTTAAGTTTATGAATTGTCAGATTAACCCGTTCTCTTTTGAGCAAATTGCGCTCTCTACATCTCGATAATTGCAATCGCAGGAAGTTTCAATAGTTTGATCAAACACCAGCAATGAATTGAAGTTGATAAATCAAATTCAATTGAATTAAGTTGGCATCCTGAAATGAAATTTAAAAAAGACTGTAGGAAAACAGCTTTAATGTTACAAGCCCCAGTAACTAGAGAGAAACATAACTTTAAATCTATGAACTCTGGTAGCACTTTATTTTCTATATCAACAGAATCCTTTGAAAGTACTTACATTGAAATGTAAAGTTAGTGATTTCAATAATAATGATACATGGATATGTCCTATAGTTCAGATAGCTTTTTAGTAGAAGAAAATGTTCATCTTAGGGTTAACATACCTTCTTCAGTTGTGGAGATTCTTCCAGTTTGATTATCAATCTGGAAAAACATTACATCAATATTGTTTGGGATTTGTTGTAAGATGCTGTAGTAGATTTTAGCATTAGGCGTTTTAGGGTCATCCAAATCAGTTGCAGTTACATACATGAAAGGCTTGCCTGTAAATAGATTTTAAAAATTACATTATACGCATACAAAGATAACTTCCCCCTTTTGCACTTTGAAAGGTCCACTTTTCATTGCTTTACCTTAACCTCCCCAATATCTCACCCAAGCAGCCATTCATCAGGTCAGAGTGTGGAAGGAATTTAGTGGGAACCAGGCCTGCAACTTGCTCGTGTGCATAACTGATGGCTGTCACTCCTCACTGACAGTATATGTTTGTGAAGTCAGCTCAAAGTTTAATCATTCAACAGCAACTAAGTATATACTTAATACAGTAACCTTCCCAACAAGCTCAACAACAGTATAATCAAAACCAAAACTGTTTTGACATTTCTTGACTCCAAAGCACAGAAGGAAAGTTTAGGAAAGATGACTAAAAGCTTGGTTGAAGTAAAAGCCTTTTTTAAAAGACATCTTAAACAGGGGAAAGAGATAGAAGTTTCATTGAACGAAAAGTATCATCACCTCATAGTCATGTCTCTGCCGAAGCCATAATATCAACATTTTCATCAGCAGTAAACCCAAGAATAGCAAAGGCTTTATTCAAGGGGACCATTTATTCTAGGCAGAGGTGAGACAGGGAGCACTGATAGCCAACCTGTCAGTCCACCAGGGCAAAGATGGGAGCAATAAGCAGAATAGAAAGGAGATTGGCAAGAATGAGCTCTGGTGGCCCATGGCTTAGGAAGATGTTGAATAGATTAAGTTTGGACAGTTGAGTTTGCTGAGCCTTGAACAAATTGTCGATACAGAAGGGAGATGCAAGGTTATTTAAAGCAGAACCAAATCTGGCAACAAGAGGGTAAGAAAGACACTGTGTAGGAAGAATTGGCACTTTCAAGGGTACATTACTCGAGGTCAAAGAAAGAGAAAACAAGCCTGGCAGCAGGAAAGGTAACGAGAAGAAGGGGAGATGTGAGATTTGAAATGTGGAATTTTTAAACGATCTTAAAATTATGGGGCTGATTTTTCACGGAGTTGTGGAGTTGCAACAGAGCTTTAAAAATGATGGATGTGAACTGATTCCTGATTCTTACCCCCATTCCCAGTTCTCTCAATCTTTGGTGGTGTGAGAGGCTGCAGGCAGAAATCCAAGCCCTTCCATTCTGGATCTGGTTGGCTACATTGTGGGTGTCAGTATCTCCTGGCCACCAGCAATTATCAGAGAGTATGGCCTGCTTCTCAAGGACTCATTTTTCACTTCCTCTAAGAGGAATAGTGAACTATAGTCCAGATATGGGGACCTTTAAAGAGACAACTTCAGATGCCCCAAACCAATGCATGCTCTCTGACCCACATCCATGAGCCCCTCATAACCTCATGCAAACCCATGCCCCACACGAACCCCTAATGGCCTCTCATTCCCTCCATGAAAACACAGAGTACACCTATGTTCCTTCATCCAGTATACACTCTGCGCAGATCCAATGAACCGTACAGTAACAACAGTACAGGTGAACATGCTTTAAAAAAGAGCCAGGCATTACCTTTCTTCAAAAAATGCAGCTACAACCCTATTAAACTCTCTATCAATTAGAACTTTAAAGTATTAATAATAGAAACTAAAGGCATTTGACAGTGCTTTAACTTCTGGAACTAAACGTTTAACAGTGACAAAATTAAACCCGATACGGTCTGCAAAACTAGCAGAGAAGTTATGTTTTCTCTGCTGTGCATCTGTTTCAACAAAATAATGGAAGGCTGGGATGTTCAAGAGCCTCATCATGCATTTGCTTTGTTTCATCATCAAACTTGTATTACACTAAGAATTACAAGCTAAGACACCAGCAGTCATCTTTGTGGCATCCCACTAGTAACTACCAGCCAATCTATAAATGACATGATTACTTCTATTCTTTGTTTTCTGTTGTTTAACTTATTTTTAAATTCATACTAATATTCTTCTGACACATAAATAAGGAAAGGAGACCTGAGATGAGACTGGAGCCATCAAAGTTGGAAAAGATAAAATCACAAGCAGTGGTGGAAATATTGAATAATTATTTTACTTCAGCATTATCCAAAGAGGTAAAGCTAGTAACATTTGGCTGCCATATTGTAAAAAGGCTGTAAAGACACTGGGGAGGATGCAAAAATGATTTATATGGAACTGCTGCAGGAGGTTGCAATATGTATTGATGTTGCTGCTTTCAGTGCAACTTCCTGTGGAAAGCAAGCTTAGACAGGAAGAGCAGAGATACACTTTTTTCTGGAAGGGAAAACAGATGAGGGTTATTGTATTCATTGAGTTGTGTTTGCCATTGCAAGCTAAATCACAGATATGCTTACAGAACATCTAATTGGCATTAACAAATAACTCACGACCCTATACCTTCAGCTTAGTGTCAAGCAATGGGCCACACTAATCAGTGATTATGCCTCTGCACTCAAATTTACTGACAAAACCAAAGAGCTTTTATGCAGATTTAGATTCTGCACTGGCCACCATCCAAAAAATAAGACAAATAGGTTCTATTGGAAGATCTTAATACCAAGTTTGGATTCACCACCACCATTTGGAAGGGTACCATCAGGATTGAAGGGTGGAGAAATCAAATATCAATAGCCCCCAACCTCCTCACCAAGTGCATTAAATATGGTCTTATCATTACAAATGCATTTTCATTAGAAAGATAAATACAAGGCAATCAGGAAAGGCCCTGATCCAAGCATTGGCACCTTCAGGACTATATCACTATCTGCCTCTGGGCTGAGAGGGTTCTGGACTTCATTCGCACCATTCAGCATGCAAATGACTGCTGGACAGGTCACAGGTGTTTACACTCCACCATGAGCCTGCACCTGGCATCAAAACACTGGATATAAACAAAGAAATTGAGGACAAAACTTAACATCTACATACTTCAAGATATAGCAATAAGAGAACAATACAAGGTGCAATATTCTTCCTGTCTTGTTCTCACTGGCTCAGTAGGTAAAGAAGATCAAAACATTCGATGCTACGCAGTCCTGCACAACACACATAGCTTTTTCCATGTGATCAAATCTATCTAGGAATCAAAAGCAAATGTTACCCGCCCCCACTTGGCTGAAAACAGCAATATTCCTCCCAAAGTCGAAGCAGCTATCCAAGAAAGTCGAAATCTCTCAACCAGGCGTCTTTCGTATCAGACAAAACAATCTTTCATCAACTTGAAAGATCAAACTTGGGTGGGCTGCCGACACTTGTTGAATTATAAATGTCTATTCTACAGATGAAGAATAACAAGCTGTGTGGTCCCAACAGCATTCTTGCGTTCATTATAAACAACATTCATAAAGCTGGTGTTCATAATCTCAATCTCAGACCATATTACAAAAATCTGTGAAGAGCAGGTATTTACTTCATGACTTCCACAATGCTTCACTTTACAAGAAATTAATTTGTGAAATCGGTAGAAGCACCTCCTTTCTGTGGGGAATGTTTCCACACATATACTCCTGAACAACACCCTGTCCATCAACAAAGATTTACATCTGAAGATTCCAATGCAGTTTCTGATCATCCACTGAATGACAGATGTGATATTTGTTTCTCAATAAATCCAAAGAAAGTGTCTGGAACAACACAAATTGCTCTACAGGATATTTATTGATATATAAAAGGCAGAGTGACCAATAGCCCTACATTTTTTAGGGTTTGTCCCTTACTTAGATTGTTTGTGCTGGGAAAAATGGCTAAGTAGCTACTGCTCCTAACCTACATGTTTTAAATCTTCTGTCTATCATTTCTAGAACAGCTGTTGCTCTTCTCGTCATGACCATCTGTCTACTGTAATGATCGTCCTTGGAAGCCCTTTCAAGAATGCTCCAGTGTCATGCATGTACAGCAAAATGTGTTACTATTCTGCAATTTTTGTACAATAGTATGATGTCTTTTGCAATAGATTGGAGGATAAGCATTTTTGTGTTCAGATGAGCACCAAGTAAGACTGTGTGATTGTTCCAACTCACTGCAATATCTACTATTGCTTTTTCATGGCTATTTGAGTTCAACTTCCACAGGGTGTGATTGAGTTTCACCTAGATTGAAGTTTTTCAACTTCAACCAAGGTGAAAGCCAAGACTAAGATGATCCTCCAAGTTATCCACAACTTACAATATCCTGACAACTGCACAGTTATGGCCCATATTAGAAGCAACCTTTTCAGCTCTGTATACTAAACGGTTAGTCTCTCACTCAACTTCAGCAAGACCAAAATACTCCACCAGCCTTCCCCTACACAAGATGTCCCCATTCCATGGGACAGCTCTCGATCTCTCTGCCCAAAAATATGTAGCTTCAATATTGTCCTGGTGAGTCACCTTGGGATGCACAAATCATGAAAACTGGCAGATGTTGGCTTCATTTCAGTAGATTGGCAATGACAATGGCAAGTAATGCAAGATTATCCCTATCAGGCTGGGTCCCTTGAAAGGGATAGCTGAGAGATGATCTAATTTGACATCCATACAACTAGGAGTGGTTTGAATTGAGTAGATAGGGAAAGAGACCTGATTTCCACCAGGCTGGAGACCATCTCCGCCAAAGTGACAGGGTTTGTCAGAAATTGCAAGTTGTGCCCAAAATCCCAGCCTCTCTCTTAACATTCGGGTGAGACTGGGGATAAGCCACTTCTAGGACACAGATAATCCTTTAAATGACCAGTTACCTCCACTAATTTTTTTTTTTGGAGTCTCTGAAATGTAGAAGCCAGAGCATGGAGATTAGACTAGGCAACAGCAGACCTGTTTTCAATGTGTTTCCTTTGGATGGGCAGAGTACTTCTTTGGAGAGCTGAGCTACCCCTGCGGATATGGTCCTAGAACAGATTAGAGGTCAGGGATCTTTTGGTAAAAGTTTCAGGTATCATAAGCCCTTTGAAAATTGTCAAATTTATCGAGAGCTGTCAACAACAGCTTGACCTGTCAAGAAGTGCCTTGGAAGTATCAAAATATCCATTAATGAATAGCAATGCTTTATTCAAGAGTGCAATCTGCAATATAGAAGTTCAAGTACATTTCTTCTCCTAAGTGCATGGGTAGTTGTGGATTTGTTTTTTTTATTCATCCATCGGATGTGGTCTTTGTTGCATAAGCCAGCATTTAGTATTCATCCCTAACTGCCCTGGAGAAAGAAATGGTGATCTGCCATCTTGAACTGCTTATGGTGTTTGTCATTTAGTGACATCTAAAGGGTTCTTAGAGAAGAAATGCTAGGATTTTGACCAAACAACAGTAAAGGAATGATAGTATTATCCAAGTCAGGATGGTGTGTGGTTAGAAGGAAATTTGCAGGTAGTGATCCTCCCATGCAACAGCTACACATGTCCTTCTCAACAGTACATGTTGCAGGTTTGGAAGGTGCTATTGAAGGAGCTTTGGTGAATTGTTGCAGTGTCTCCTGTAGATGGTACAAGCTGCTGCCACTGTTCATTAGTGGTGGAGGGAATAACTGTTGCTGGCATCTAATGGGGCCTCAATTAAGCAAATTGTATTGTTCTGGGTGGTATAGAGCTTCTTGTTGTTGGAACTGCACTCCAGAATATTTGATTAGTCAGCATGGTTAGTGAAGGGGGAAATGCAGATGGAAGTAGGCACTAAGTTGGTATACAGGGATATGAGGTGCCAGACTAATAGTTAGAGGGGATTAGGTTGTAAGGCTGGTCACAGGTAAGGCAAGGTATTGAGTGGTGATGAGGGAAAGTGAGGGGGTGTGAGACGTGATTGCTTAATGTTGTCTTGGGACAACTTTGGTGGAGGAAAGGTACTCTTTAGTGGAAGTAAGTTACCCATTGTGATTGTGATTGTGCTTGTGTGTAGAAAAGTACATAAACTCATTGGGGCTTGAAAAGTTGTCAAAAAACTGTACAAAATGTGCAGCTGTAAAAGTACGTATTTGAGAGTATCTGTTTGTACAAATACATGTTAGGATTTGTGTTGCTTGATTGATGTTCCAGGCTCTCATTTTCATAACTTTTTCCACCTGTTTATTGAATGGATCTGTTTACTGACATAAGGTTTTAATACTTCAGTGACAGGTTTGTTGACATAAGATGTTTTAGCCATCTTAGCAAAATGTTTATTTACATAAATTATTAAACTCTTAAATGAAAGTGTTATCATAGAGGATTTGTTGAAACAATTTCACCATATTGGATGCTTGCTTTGTGTTAATAAGAGTGTTATTTTTACAATAATAACATAACCAATGTACTGGTAACTCTATTTTCTGTCATGATACTGCCTGTTAATGCTCATTCTGGGTAATAACTGGGTTGGCATAAAGAGGGAAAGGAAAAGGATGGTGGGTGAGATATAGAGGTTGTCATAAGGGCTTTAAAGATCCATAGGGATACCTGGAACTTATTGTGTATGAGGGGCAATGGGAGATGGACATAAGGTGGCATGAAGGGCCAATAAATGGGCATAGGCTTGTACAAAGTTTATGAGGTGCTATGGTGGTCAGTACAGAGGCATGGAATGTATAAAGGACATGGGGATGGGTGTGTGTGGCAAAGGGGTTATGAGCTGATGACAGGAGGGTAGATTATTTATTCTTATATAGGATGTCCATTCCTCATTTCCCTTGAACTGAGTATTTGTTAGACCATTTTGAGGGCAATTAAGAATCAACCATATTGCTGTGGATCTGGAGTGGCATGTGGGCCAAACTGGGTAAGGATGACATATTTCCTTCCAGAAAGGGCATGAGTGAACTACATCAATTTTTACAACTATCAGCAGTGGTTATATCTTCGCTATTAGTCTAGATGTTGATTCCAGATTTTTGTTTCATTGAATTCAAATTCTACCAGCTGGTATGTTGAGATTTGATCATTAGCCTGTGCCTTTGGATTACTAGTCCAGTGACATTACCACGACACCACTGATGTCCCTTTGAAAGTTGGTAAATACAAGGTATAAAGTATAAATGTGGAAGCAGGAGGATGCTTTCTGTTTCTTTCTTTATTTTTAAACTTATGTACCAGTCAGTCTTTCAGGCTCGTCCTGACTTACATGGTTAGGCTCCCAATCCAGTGTGTATCCTTGACTGATCTCTGAAGTGACTTGTTAAGATTAGATTCACTGAACTGGGATTTTTCCTACTTCTGATCCTCAATCCAGGAATTAAAATCAAGACCAGAATGTTTTCACTTAGGATGAATAGCAAGCTAGAAGCCATCAATATAAGATAATCACAAAAAAATCAAATGGGAATTATTTATCTAAATGGAATCTTGGTAAATTAGAGAGTGGTTGATGCATTCAAGGGTAGGCATTAGGACAGGCTTATGCTGACAGACTTAGATAAGGCAAAATAGAAACAGTACCAATGGACGTATATCACAGGAGAACTGGTTTTAACCTATTGGCGTTTTTCTGTGCTGCATATTCTATGTAATTCATTATTATTGGATCAATAAACTGGATCAATATCCCACTCATAATTGTGTGAAGTCCATCATTACAATGGGCACAGAACTATCATGTAGGGTCAAGTGAGGAATGAATATGATTTTGTCAGGATCATACATGTCTCAAATACATTTTTTTTAACAAAAAGAACATCATTGGGAAAAGCAGAAAAGCACAACACTAGGGAGGGCTCCTTATATAGAGTGCAGGAAACACTGGGAGTAGCAAAGCAGGAATTTGCCCACCACAAGAGTCTTTACAAGCAACATTGAAAAAAACCAATGGAGGAAGTACAACAAAATACGACAAGAAACAGCATGAGAAACACCAGTAGAATGACAGCAATAAAACACTGCAGGAGGAAAGAACCGAGGCAAGAGACAGAAGTATACCAAAAATTCATGCCACAGAACAAGGGGTCACATGGGATGAGTACAATCATAATTTATTTTTCATTTTAAATTAAGTTCTTCATTTTTATCATACTTTAATTAAGCTAACTAACTATAAAGTAAGTCCAAATGAGTTCATTAGTACAAACTAATTTGATAATTATCACATCATCACAATTTTCAAAATAAATCAAATCTAAGGATGTTTAAAATGAAAAAGAAAGGGAATGCAATTCTAAAGATTTCTGAATTTTTCAGTAATTGTAAACAGCGGGAGTTAAGTAACACATTGAATTTAATCATCATGGTAAATAATGTAGCATAGATTAAGGAAATGAACTGATTAGTCAGTGGGCAGTGAGCTTTTATTTGAGTCTGAAGTTCACTTCTGTTAAATCAGCTAATGGTGTAATAAATAAAGGCAAGGCAGAACATCTCAACTCCCTGGAATAATAATCTTGTTGCGTGGCAGAACAACAGATGCTTTTTGTATCATGGGTAACCACATGTGCAGAATATGTAGTAGCCTCGTTAAGTCATGTTCCAGGTTTTGGAGCTTGAGCAGCTGCTGGCATTGCTGTAGTCCATTGTAACATTGACAGTTTTGTAGTATTTTGGGAGGCTGATTTTCTGGACATGCCCATTCCCTACTTTAAGAGTGTGTAGGTAGATAGAGAATGGTGATAGCCAAGCATTCAAAGAAGACCAGGCAGATTGTACAAGCATTCCTTCAGTGAATCTCACCCTCTAAACCTTAGGGGAGGCAGTGATGTAGTAATGTATTGTCACTGGGCTAGAAATCCCAAGACCCAAGTTAATTTTCTGTGGTCCTGAGTTCAAATCTGACCATGGCATATGATGAAATTTGAAATCAATACTAATATGGAATTTAGTTTTAAAAATCTAGCCTAATGGTGACCATAGAAACATTTGCAAATGTCATAAAAAATCTGGTTCACTAATGCCCTTTAGGGAAGGAAATCTGTGATCCTTACCTGGTCTTTATTTGACTCCAAACGCACACCAATGTGCCGTCTGAAATAGCTCTAACAAGTCACTTAGTTCAAGGGGTAATTGCGTTTTGACAATAAAAATGTTGGCCTAACCATCTGCTCACATATCCCATGAATGAATAAAAAATAAATCAAAATTCTGTTCTTAGCTACACAAAGGTAGATGGGGATGGGGGAGCAGGAGGAAGATGGGAAAGCAATAGTGGTGACGATTCTACAGCTGGGAAACAGACAGCTATTTCTGCAGCGAGCATTGTGAATCCAGGAAAGTAGGTTGCCTCTTATTGTCAGGGTCAAGGATATCACTAATCAGATACACAGCATTCTGAGCAGGGACAGTGAATAGCTTCCTAACATTCACGTTGATACAAAGAGGGATGAGGTCCAACAAGATACAGTTTAGGGAACTAGGAAAGGAAATAGAAATCAGAAAAGGGATCCATTAACCTCATTTTCTGGAATGCCATTGGAGTTAAGATTTCCCAACACAATTTGGTTCTCTGCAGGCAACAACTCCAGATTTTCAGACAGATACCAATGGCTTTTCTCAACAATTTACAACTAGATCTGGGACAGTGTGCCCCATCACAGTGTCAATAGCAGTTGTTTGTCATCCAATTGTTTTTTTCATTCATTCATTCGCTGGCTGTGCCAACATTTATTTTCCATCCCTAGTTGCCCTTGAACAAAAGGTGAGCTGCCTTCTCAAACTGAAATAATATCAAAATTATGCAAATTTATAATTGGAAGTTAAGCTACTAAAATGTCACATACCAGGCCTGGAATTCTGCCGTACAATTCCATCAAACTGGTGTTTTGTGAATATTGGTTGATTATCATTTATATCACGAAGTAAAATAGTGACAACTTCAGGTCCTTCAACTGTTTCTTGAGCATTATTTAGACCCACTATCTAAAAATAAAGAGGATGAGACAATAATTATTTACAAAATTGAACAATTCTATTCACAAATAGATAAAAGCATGAAATGAAGCCATTCAAATCAATCACTTCTCCACCAAGAGTCTTGGAAAGATGTTCACTTAGATGGTGTCATTGTTGGAGTGCAATAATCTCAGCCCCAGGACAACATTGCAGAGTGGCATTCTAGTCCCAGCTGGCTTCAACTGCTTCATGATTGTCATTCCCGCCTTATCATAAGTTGGGATGTGATTGTACCATTGTCAATATAATTTACAACAGTGTCCATAAGCAGTTAGACCTGGATAATGACAGGCTTGGACTAAGAAGTGATAATTAACATTCACACCACACAAGTGCGAGTCATTGACCATCATTGACAGGACAGAATCTAACCATGATCCCTTGACAATCAATAGCTAAATCCTTCAGTATTGACATCTGGGGCTATCACTGACCAGAGACTGAACTGGACTATCCATATAAATACTGCAGCTACAAGATCAGATCAGAGGTTGCGAATGTTGCAACAGCCTAGTCGCATCCTATCTCCCCACTTCTCCACTAGCCTTGTTAAGTACAGTTCCCAGAACACCTAAGAAGCTCAACATTATCTTGGACAAAGCACCGCATCCATGTTTCAAAGGTGCTGTTGAAGGAACATCAGTGAGTTATCACACTGCATCTTGTAGATGATACACACTGTTGCCATTGTCCATTAATTGTGAAGGGTCAATTTTCACATTGTTGGATAGAAGGATTGAAGCAGCTAGTCTGGAGCACAAGTCTTCAGTACAATTGTTAAAAAGCTTTCAGGGCCTTTGCCGTAACAGCACCTTCAGCCATTTTTTAAAATCACATGGAGTTAATTGAATTGGCTGAAGACTGGCATCCGTGACGCTGGGGACTATCATGGGTTGATCAGTAAAACTGCAGATAATGTAAACATTTGTAGAGTGGTAATTAGTGAGGAGGATAGCCTTAGATTATAGGAGAAGATAGACAGGTTGGTCAGACGGGCTGATCAGCGGCAAATGGAATTCAATCCGAATAAATGTGAAGTGATGGACTTGGGCAGGACAAACAAAGCAAGGGAATACATGAAAAATGGAAGGATCCGAGAAGCACAAAGGATCAGAAGGATCTTGGTATGCATATCACCGGTCCCTTAATGTAGCGGGTCAGGTAGATGCAGTGGTTCAGAATACATATGGAATACTTGCCTTTATTAGCTGAGGTGTAGAGTTTAAGAGCAGGGAGGTTATGCTGGAACTATAGAAATTGTTGGTTAGGCCACAGCTAGACTATTGTATGTAATTCTGGAATCCACATTATAGGCGGGACACATCTGCACTGGAAAGAGTGCATAGGAGATTTACCTGGACGTTGCCTGGGCTGGAGAGTTTAGCTAGGGAGAGATATTGGACTGGAGTTGTTTTCCTTGGAGCAGCGGAGACAGAGGGAGGACATGAGCATTGACAGATATCTTTGTATCCTCTTTGGCCACAGGTGAGGTCCCAGAGGACTGGAGAATAGCCAATGTTGTCCCATTGTTTAAGAAGGGCAGCAGGATAATCCAGGAAATTACAGGCCTGTGAATCTTATGTCAGTGATAGGGAAATTATTGGAAAGATTCTCAGGGACAATTTCTATATGCACTTCGAAGCAAATGGACTTATTCGCAATAGGCAGCATGGTTTTGTGCGGGGGAGATCGTACCTCACTAACTTGATCGAGTCTTTTTAATGAGGTGATAAAGATGATTGATGAAGGAAAAGCGGTTGATATTGTCTACATGGACTTCAGTAAAGCCTTTGATAAGGTCCTTCATGGCAGACTGGTACAATAGGTGAAGTTATATGGTATCAGGGGTGAGCCAGCAAGATGGATACAGAACTGGCTTAGTCATAGGAGATGGAAAGTAGTGGTGGAAGAATGCTTTTCAGAATGGAGGGTTGTGACGAATGGTGTTCCACAGCGATCGGTGCTGGGATCTCTGCTGTTCATGGTTTACATAAACAATTTGGAGGAAAACGTAACTAGTCTAATCAGTAAGTTTGCAGATGATACAAAGATTGGTGGAGTAGCAGATAGTGAAGAGGATAGTCAGAGGATACAGCAGGATGTAGATCAGTTGGAGGCATGGCCAGAAAAATGGCAGTTGGAGTTTAATCCAGACAAATGCAAGGTGATGCATTTTGGAAGGTCAAGTAAGGATGGAAATTATACGGTGAATGGCAGAACCCTTAGGAGCAGTGATATAGAGTCTTGGAGTCATAGAGTAATACAGCATGGAAACAGGCCCTTCGGCCCAAAATGATCCATGATGACCAACACACAAGCACACAAACACACACACACACACACACGAATCTATGGGGTGAATTTGTATTTGCTGATAATTCTATTTTGTTCAAAAATCACACAATTTATAGATAGTCAGTCAACGCAGCATTTTATAAATTCCTACTTTAGAAATAAAACCAGTCTGACACCAAACCAAAACACAAACAGATTTGAAACAACAGCTCACACCTAACATGCATTGTCTGACCTAAAATGTCACCTCTTCTTTACACTGATAAAACCTATAGTTCTCTCAGGACTGTGACTTGAAATGAATTCAGGAATTTACATATACACATTAATCAATTAAAACCTTCTAACTGATTAAAGATTTAACAGCATCTTAGGTTTGTTTAATACATCCTCATCAGTGGTGTGACCTTTTGATCTTTTAATTATAAATTCTGTGTCTGATACTACCTCTCTCACTAACACCTGAAGAAGGAGCAAAGCTCTGAAAGCCTGTGTTTTCAAGTAAACCGTTGGACTACAACCTGGTGTTGTGTGATTTCTGACACTTTTTATATAGTCAACTAGGGATTCACTTGAGCCTGATAGCTTAAACCTGGCCTTCTTCTTTTTCCTGACCAGAACCTCAATATCCCTTGTCAGCCAGGGATACCTAGACTTGTCAGCTTTTCCCTTCACCCTAATAGGGACATACTGTCCCTGGACTCTTGATATCACACTTTTAAAAGCCTCCCATTTGCCAGTCGTTCCTTTTCCTTCAAACAGTCTCATTCAATTGACCTCTGCTAGATCCTGCCTAATGGCCCCAAAATTGTCCCCGCTCCAGTTTAGCACCTTAACCTGTAGACCTGACCTATCATTTTCCATAACTATGTTAAAACTAAGAGAGTTATAGTCACTGAACGTAAAGTGCTCTCCAACTGACACTTCAGTCACTTGCCTGACCTTGTTTCCTAAGAGAAGGTCCAGTGTTGCACCCTCCCAAATAGGGCCCTTTACATATTGATTTTGGAAACTTTCTTCGACACATTTGACAAATTCCACCCTGTCCGGGCCTTTCACACTTTGGGTGGTCCAGTCAATACAGGGGAAATTAAAATCTCCAACCAACACTACTCTATTATTCCTACAGGTATCTGCAATCTGTCTACACATCTGCTCCTCTACTACCTGCTGGCTATTTGGGGGTCTATAATACAGTCCCAACAGAGTGACCATTCCCTTCTTGTTTTTAAGTTCTAACTATATAGCCTAATTTTGATGACCCCTTAAGAATATCCTCTCTAAGCACTGTTGTTATGTCCTCTCTTATCAAAAGGGCAACTCCCCCTCCTTGCTTACTTGTACTTCTGTCACACCTGTAGCATCTGTATCCTGGAACATTGAGCTGCCAGTCTTGCCCTTCTCTCAGTCATGCCTCCGTTATGGCTGTAATATCCCATTTCCTAGATCTAATCCATGCTCTGACCTCATCTGCCTTACCAGTCAGGCCTTGAAATAAATGCACTTTAAACGAGATTTTCCCTCCCTTTACTGTGCCCCCAACTATCCTGAATAGTAAACTTGCTCTCGATGGCTGATGTATTTTCCCTTGACTTCTCGCTGGCCCCTCTCTTATTCAGAGTCCCACCCCCCGCCAAACTAGTTTAAACCCTCCCGGGTAACACATCTCCCCGCAAGGATATTGGACCCCCTCCAGCTCAAGTGCAACCCGTCCCTCCTGTACAGGTCTCCTCTACCCCAGAAGAGATCCCAATGACCCAAAAACTGAAAACCCTGCCCCCTACACCAGCTCCTCAACCATGCATTCATCTGGTCTAGCTTTCTATTTCTATCCTCACTGGCTCGTGGCACTGGGAGTAATCTGGGGATCACTACCCTTGAGGTCCTGCTTTTTAACTTCTTGTCTAGCTCCCTATATTTTGCAGGACCCCAACCCTTTGTCTACCTCTGTCATTTGTACCAATGTGTACAATGACCTCTGGCTGTTCACCCTCCCACTTCAGAATGTTCTATAACCGCTCAGAGACATCCTTGACCATGGCACCCAGGTGGCAACATACCATCCTGGTGCCTCTTCTGCAGCCATAGAGTTTCCTGTCTGTCCCCCTCACAATTGGGTCCCCTATCAGCATATCGCTCTGTCTGACTGCACCCTTTCCTGCTGGGCCTCAGAGCCGGTCACAGTGTCACTGAGCACACTGCTGCTGCTAGCCCCTAGAAGGTCAGCCCCCACCACCCTCCCACCACCACCCCCCACCCAACAACAGTATCCAAAGCAGTATACCTGTTATTGAGGGGAATGACCACAGCAGAATCCTGCATTATCTGCCTTGCCCCCTTACCTCTTCTGGTGGTCACCCAGCTACCTGCAGCCTGCACCTTAGGAATGACCACTTCACTATAGCTTTTATCAATGAGGTTCTCTGCACCTCGGATGATCCTGAGTATATCCAGCTCCAGCTCTAGTTCCCTAACACGGTCTGTCAGGAGCTGCAGCCGGGTGCACTTCTCAAGGTGTAGCCACCAGGGGCACTGGAAGTTTTTCCCTGATCTCCCACATCGTGCAAGAGGAGCATGTCCTAACTGCCATCCCTATTGCCTTCTGTCTGGACAGAAAGAGACTTAAACAGCCCTTATCTGCTCTTAACTGTACCCCTACTCAGCCTCCTCATGGTGAAAACTCTCGAACAAAGGCCTCTGCACTTCCACTCTAACACTGGCCCACTCTCTTAATGGCAGTTCCCTTGTACATCTTTACCTTGCCATTGTCTTCTGCATGGAGCTGCTTTTCATTTGGTCACAGGAGGAAGGAGGGTGGGAAACACCAATGTAGCATTTCAGGTTTAACCACACTTTGACGCCAGCTCTCTTTGACCTGTTGTACAGTTGTGATGACTGTGGATGTCTCCCAGAATTCCACTGTGATGACTCTCAGCCGCCCTCTGTTTCGCAGAGGGGTCTGGGTGTGCAGGTCCACAGATCACTGAAGGTGGCAGCGCAGGCAGACAAGATAGTAAAAAATGCCAATGGCATGCTTGCCTTCTTTCGAAGGGGCATTGAGTATAAGGGTAGAAAAGTTCTGCTGCAGCTTAATAGAACTTCAGTTGGGCCACACTTGGAATATGGCATACAATTCTGGTCACCATACTACCAGAAGGATGTGGATGCTTCGAAGAGAGTACAGAAGATGTTTAACAGGATGTTGCCTGGTATGGGAATTTTAGCTATGAAGAAAGGTTCGATAGACTGGGTTTGTTTTCACTTGAACGCAGGAGGTTGAGGAGTGACCTGAGAGAAGTTGATAACATTGTGAGTGGTATGGATACAGTGGAAAGTATGAGGCTTTTTCCCCAGGGTGGAGGGATCAATTACTAGGGGATACAGGTTCAAGGTGCAAGGGGATAAGTTTAAAAGAGATGTGTGAGGCATAACATTTGTTAAGTGTTTAGATGTGCACTTGTGATGCCAAGGCATACAAGGCTGTGGGCCAAGTGCTGGAAAATGGGATTAGAACAATTGGGTAGTTGCTTTTGACCAGCACATTTGCTTGATAGACCAAAGGCCTTTTCTTCTGTGCTATAGATCTCTATGACTCTATGGCTGTATGACCACAGAGGGATGCTGAGATGGGTCATCCACTCAGCACTGCTGGCTAAAGTTAGATGCAAATACTCCAGCCTTGTCATATGCACTGATGTGCTGGGCTCCCAAATTGTTGAGAATGGAGATGTTTGTGGAGCCTTCTCTTCTTGTTTAATTGTCCACCTAATCATGACTGGATGTGGCAAGAATGCAGAGCTTAGATCTGATCCACTGTTTTTGAGACTGCATAGCCCTATGCTCTGCATATTGCTTTTGCTATTTGGCGTGCTAGTTATCCTGCCTTGTAGCTTCACAGGTTGACATCTCCTTTTCTGGCATGATGCCAATGGTAGAATGTGGGTTACATTAGGTCATATGGTTACAGATTGTGTTTGGATCAATTCTACTGGTGGCCCACAGTGTCTCACAGATACTCAGTGTTGAGTTGCTAGGTTTGTTTGAAGTCTGTCCATTTCCCACAGTGGTAATGCCATACAATAACAATGCGAAGATGGGACTTTTTCTCCACAACGACTGCAGCATTGTCACTCCTACTGATACTGGCATTGATGGGCACATATGTGACAGGTAGTTTGGAGAGGACAATAGATTTTCCATCTTACTAGTTCCTTCACTATGTGCCGTAGACTATGTCCTTTAGGGCAATAACCCTTTAGATCAGTAGTGGCGTTACTGAGCATCTGTTGATGATGGACACTGATGTTCCCACACAGATTACATTCCGTACAATTGCCACTCTCAGTTCTAGTGAGATAGGATACTCCCAGATGTTGGTGAAAAGGACTTTGCAGGGTCAACAGGCCTGTGCTTGCCAGTGTCATTTGCAATAGGTCAATGCCAGATGCTCCATCAGTACCAATTCCTTTGATTTTGGGGTTCTTTTAGTGATTTGATACAACTGAATGGCTTATTAGGCCATTTCAGAACATAGTTAAGAGTCATCCACCTCACTGGAGCTATATATATAGGCCAGATTAGTTAAGAATGACAGATTTCCTTCCCTAAAGGCATTAGTGATCCAACATGGTTTTGATGACAATCAAAATTGGTGGAAAAAGTAACTTGCCTAATTGGCACCATATAAACTAACATCAATTCCTTCTACGACAAACACTCAGTAATTGCAGTGTGTACCATCTATGCAATTCACTGTGGAAATCCTGGATGACACTGTGAAACTGCCATCCTTACCTGGTCTGGTCTACGTGACTCCAGACCCACAGCAATGTGGTTGACTCTTAACTGCCCTCTGGGCAATCAGGGATGGGCAATAAATGCTGCGTAGCCAGCGACACACTTATCCCATGAATGAAAAGAAAGAAAAATCCATCAAGGCTCCTAAGATGGCAGGAAGTGATTAATGGTGTATCACAGGGATCAGTGTTTGGGTCCCATCTATTCATAATATAGAGATATGACCTGGATGAGGGATCCAAATGCAATATTTCTAACTTTGCTGATGACACAAAACTGGGTAGGATTGTGCATTATGAGGAGGATGCAAGGAGCCATCATGGTGATCTAGAAAAGTTGAGTGTGTGGGTAAACAAATGGCAGATGCAGTATTACATGGCATGCTGGCTCAGTGGTTAGCACTGCTGCCTCACAATGCTAGGGACCCTGGTTTGATTCCAGCCTAGGGTGACTGTCTGTGTGGATTTTGCATGTTCTCCCTATGTCTATGTAAGTTTCTTCTGGGTGCTTCAGTTACCTTCCACAATCCACAGATATGCAGGTCAGGTAGATTGGCCATGCTAAAGTAACTCAAAGTGTCTAGGGATATGCAGGCTAGGTGGGTTAACCGTGGTAAATGTGGGATTACAGGGATAGGGATGGGGATGGATTTGGTGGGCTGCTGTTTGGATGATCAGTGCCAACTTGATGTACCCAAAAGTTCTTTCTGAACTGTAGGTATTCTATGATTCTAATATAGATAAATGTGAAGTTATATACTCTGCTGTGAAAGGCCAAATGGTTATTTAAATCATGATATATTAGACAGGCGGGTGCAGCAATGAATTAGGAAGCCAAATGTATATTGACTGTCATTGCAAGAGGATTTGAGTTCAGAAGTAGGGATGCCTTACTGCAGTTATGCAGGGTTTTCATAAGACCTCAGCTGAAGTGTTGGGTGCAGTTTTAGTCCCTCTACTTCAGAGGATATATTTGTCTTAGAGGGAGTGCACTCTGGAGGCTGGACTATACTGACAGGAGAGATTGGTTCAACTGATCCTGTATTTACTAGAGTTCCAAAGAATGCGAAGAGTTCTGAATGAAATGTGTAAAATTCTAACAGAACGGGACAGACTCAATGCAAGAAGGACATTTCCCCTGGTTGGGGATTCTTGAACCAAGGGACACAGTGTCAGGATATGGGTTACATCATTTAAGACTGAGATGAGGAAATATGTCTTCACTCAGAGGGTGGTTAACATGTAAAACCTGCAACACAGAAGGCTGTGGTGCCCAGGTCGCAGAGCATATTCAAGAAAGAGATTAATAGATTTTTATATATTAAAGACATTAAGGAGTATGGGGAGAAAGTGGGAATATGGCATTGAGATACAGGATCAACCGTATTCACACTGGAATAGGCCATTTGGTTGTTCAAAGAGCAGAGCAAGCTTGAACAGCCAAATGGCATATTCCAGCTTCGATGTCTAAGTTTAGCCATCCATGTGTTCAAATTTCCTGTCACAGTTACTATTGGGATAGTTTTCTTAATTCCTGATTTTTACTTTGGTTGAATTTAAATGCTCCCATCTGCTGTGGTGGGATTTGAACCATTATCCTTAGAGCAATGCAATTAGCTTCATCTCTCTTCAACCTGCATGTTTGCATCATCACTGATTGGACTTCTTCCTTTCTGTTTACCTTTAATTCATAAGATGCTTTTTTTTCACGGTCCAGTGTCATATTGGCAGTCAACCAATCATCGAAAATGTTGAATGCGCCGTCTGTTTCACCAATTATTGCAAATGACTTCACATCAGCGTTCTCTGATGTAAACTATGGTGAAAAAACGGTATACAAAATTTAGTGTGCATGCACCACTGTTAACTACATAGTCAAGTGCCAAATTATTCTGGTATCAGCAATACAAATAACTAAAGTAAAAATCTATTGATCTGCATGAGTACTTTAGGAGATAGAAGTCTGGATGTTACAGGGCAGCTTGGTCCTCAGCAACCTGACTGCTGCCCTCAGCAATTTAATGCTGGGAGCAATATTCAATGCTTTAAGGTGGGACCCCTGCCTCCCCAAGCACCATACTTTGGGTGGTGGTTTGGGGGGGGACAGCAGGGTGATGGGTTGGTGCAGTCACAGGCCCAGCAGCAGCTCAATAGTCCCTGCAACTCCAGGTTCAAACAGTGACAATTGCCAGAACTAAAGACAGTCCCAGAATAGAGGAGTGTGG